AAATGAAACTTTGATTTTCTATACTAATAACAGAGTTAAGTTCTTGCTTCACTAAACGAACATGCGAAGAATTCTGGAAAACGCGACCACGTTTTGGAGGACGACCGCCTCGGTCATTGAAAATTTCACTCATAACAACTGTTAAATTTAAAATTAAAATTAGTAAAAATTATTATTATTTTAACAAAATCATAACTGAAAAGTTCAATTTTTAAATTAAAAAAAATAAATCAGAAGAAAAAGGATGAAATGAAAATGGAAATTAATAATAAACATATTTATACACATTGAAAAGAAACAGCGTGAAAAGTTCTGATCGGAAATGAGAAAAAAAACTTGGAGGTTATTGACTTAATGAGGAAAAATTGGCAATAGGAAAAAGATGGAACCAATCATGAAAAACCGTAAAAAAAAAAACGCGGGAAAAGAAAAATGTAAGTTGATGGCAGTTGAGTGTTGGAAGTAACCTCACTTAATGATGATTGTTGAATGAAAACAGCTGATAAAAAGACAGCAAACAGTAAAGTAAGATGCGTAGCAACAAAACTTTTCCGAAAAACAAAAAACAAAAAACCCCCACTTCCCCTCATCCAATTTATGAGTTTTTAGGGATTTAAAAATCGGGGACGAACCCCAGAAAATAATTTATAGTTTTCCCGAAGCATTGAGAACAACACCTTTCAAATGAACCAACGCCCCTCGCAATTAGTACAGTGGTTGATTCACAATTTCATTCTATTTTTCAAATTAAATATTAAGATTGATGTGCGGTAAAGAACGGTGTAGTTGACCCACAAATAAGTGGAATCAAAATGTAAAGAGGTATAAACAAAAAAACGAAATTCAAAAAAATAAGGGCTCGTAATGAAGAATACATTACTTAAATTTAAAAAAAAGCGCAGAGCGCTTGTAAGGAATACATTATCGGCAACTCGCGGGAAGTGTCTTAATAAGTCGGTGTTAAAATCTAAGGAGTCCAATTCCAATGAGCTGTGACATGTGAACATTTTCATTGACTTCGAGGCTCATCAGAAAATAGACTAGTTAAACGTTAATCACCAAAGGATTCATTTCCTGACGGTTGTAGGACAGTAGCTTGTTGATCATAGCTGTCGCTGTTGCCAATTTTAACGTTTAAATCTGCCCCAATGTAAAATCTGCATATTTTACAACGCGGCGGGGGGTAAGTAATGTGCGTAACCACACACTAAGCGGCAATGCTAATGACTGTCATCTTAATGAGTGCAGTGGGCACACAAACCGCTCATATCAACTCGGCAGCGGACCAATGGTACCGCACGCGTAACGTAGCGCGACAAAAAATTGGCACGAGGTATTGACCCTGAATAATTTGCTCGATTATCGCGAAAACACGGCGTTCCTGCTCTAGCGAATCGTAACATATAATTACTCGACATCTTAACTATCTTGGCTCTAGCCGCCATGTGGGTTTGTTTTTCCCCCCACCCCACCACAACTATGGGTATCATATGCTTATATCTTGACATCCGGGAAAATAATTTAGAGACGTAGCTTCCCATTAAGTTCAAGTGTTATGTTTTCTCTTTCGGAAATTACCACTGAAACACCTACAGCGAATGATATTTGATAGATCACGATGTAAGAGGCTTTTATAGTAAACAAGATCCTGACGGAATCACGCAAGAAGGATGAACTATCATTTCCGGCTCGTTTTGGAAACAACGTGCCTGTCACCAATATTGCTATTCAAACGGACGCTTCGATGAATGAACGGCATATTTGAATGAGGGCGTAGCTGGAGCACCTATGTACGGGAGAGTATCGCCATCTCTGTGCTGCTGTCTGATTGGTTCATCAGTTTTAGGCTATCATGGAGCTCTAAAGATGGTCCAATGTAAAGAAACCCGACCCGGAGGAACACGTATTATCGGCTGAGAAATGAATGATAATCACACTCAAAGCTTGATTTTCGGCAAAAATATTAATCAAAGTTCGATCTGAACTCAATTCAGAAGTTGGATATAAAAAAATTCTATCACACACAGAACTTTGTGGAACGTTTTCACCATCTGGGCCAAACTAGGAGCTGGAGCTACTACTAGGAGCTATAGGAACCGACCGCTTCGTTAGGAAAATTAGGCCGCCTTCAACTCTTCTCCTCCCCTAGAAAATACCGTCCTCCCATCTTCTTTTGTCCCCCCATCTACCCGAACATTTTGTTAAAATTATGCTATTATACATTATTGCTTTGTGCTCTAGGAATGGCAAGTACGTCTTGATTGTGAAACTACAATATCACGTTCTTCGGATGGCAACCTCGTTTTATTGTTAGTTTAACTTGTTATAAGATGACAGATCGTCGCTTTTTCACAAAATTTCGCGCAATTTCCGATTTGCAGCCGCTGTTATATCCTCACTATTCTAAAAAAATCATTTTTAAGACGCTAGATGGACGGGGCGAGAGAGGGGAGTAAGACGGTCCCAGTTATAATAGAATGGGTTGCTTTACTCTCAGAGGCCTTTGTTTCGTCATAAACAGCTTTATGTGGTCATGTCAAGGTCGACTTCCAAAAAAAGATTCAAAATTCAGAGTAAGCAGAGAGCTATTACGAATTTTGTTTATTAGTGGGAAATTTTTCTTTGAAAAATCGTTTTGTTGTTCAATTAAAATTATTTGCTTATCAACCGCCAACGGGCGATTTTAACGATTTCGCTGGCGGCCTTTGGGGCCCGCGACGCGCCGGGGGTTATGGATCCCTCGTTGATATATATTTGCTAAGGCAAAATTTAGGAATTGCTGTTTTGTGATCACGAAATACCTGCATGGCATGAACGAGAAAAGAAAATCACCGAAAATTCACAAAAGAACATTCATTAGTTTTCCTGTAAAAATAAAATGTGACAAGAAATTTACGACGTCGCGAATAAAGATGGTATTTATTGACGGCGCCCTCTGTTACTCGGTGTCAAGGTTTGTTTACAAAAAAGATGGAAAAACTTTCCAGCACAGAAAAACGTTGTGTTTAATGCGTACGTAAGAAAATAAACGAGGGCGGGGGGGGAGGGGGCAGTATCAACGAGAGGTACTATATCCCGCTGTTTCCTTTCTTCCTCTGACATTCCTATAATTACATTCAGTTTCGACTCACGATAGTTTTTTCATGAATTGTTCGTCAATGAAGCATTCTAAATTTCATTCATGAGGAAGGTATCACCGTACCAAACTTTTCAAATAGTTGTGTGGGTGAATCGACATAATTGATGCGAAAAAGAAAGCGAAAAAAAGGCAAACCTACAAAAAATCACAACAATGAACTTTGGTTCGTTTTTTTCCTTGATAGTATTACATTGACATCGAGCGTTTGCAAAGGGGCAAAAAACGGACGGTGTTGCGCATTGAATGAATGCAAATTTCAATTCCTGCATCTAAAGGGGTTTTTTTCCGAACTTCGAATTGCATGTGTCATTGCTCCCTACTTTAAATTCAGAAAAGACAACGGTTAGACATTTTTTATACGTTTACCTGAGATTTTGTCTACTGCCCCATTTACTTCAATTTCCCTGTCCTTATTCTCTTTAACTTGGGCCTTGAAATTACATCTCACGTACCGGCTATTGACATTATCACTGAGAGTTCAAAATCTGACTTCTCAAATTTTCGCTTTTATCATGGTTGTATCTAGAGATCTATGCCGGTTCCCATGATTTTTCAGCAGTTAAAATTCTCTAGGCGAGCCCATTCTCTATAGACTTCCGCAGTTTTTCTGCATCCTTTGATATCGCGAGGTGGCCCTCTAATTATTAATTGGAAGTGCACGAAGCGCTCAGGACGCGGGGAGGGGAGGGGAAGGAAAGAAGGAAATAAATCTAAAAATTGTTCGTGGTCATATTACACGAAATTCACTGTAGGGAAAAATACAACACATTCAACTAGATCCGGTTTAAAAAATGCTGCAGGTAACCAATGATCCAAACCCCCCCCCCCCCAAAAAAAAAAAAAACCCAGAAAAAACAGTGATTTAATGTAAGTATGGGAGATTCTAAGTGAAAATCGCCGCGATGAACTCACCGATTCCTTACTTTGCGCGTTTTAAAATATGTTTAAGGGTTATGCAAAAAGTACTACGGCTAAGAAAGGCGCGTAGTGATTTTAGAAAAATTGTGTTATTTTATATGTAGTCATTTAAAGCAGTATTCCTTGTTAAAAAATGTATGACCTCAGAAAATAATTTCCTCTGAGTATTCGTTTTTAGGTATCGAAAGGTCTCGCGTAAATGTATCAAACTTCAAGCAGCTATTTTTAGACACTCCTTGAAACCTCTTTGGCTTACAATCTCCCTGAAATCGCCGCAAATACAGGCTTTAATGTGCCTTAAGAACGCTCGTAGATGTTCCAAGCCAAAGCCGCCGTGCGACCCACCCCCTTAAATTTCGTTTTCCCCAAAATTTCAATCATGCCAATCACCACCTCGATCCGTGGTGCTCTTGAGTAGTTATATCAAAATGAGTATAAGAGAAAAAAAAAGAAAAAAATCGAAATTGCTTGGAATTAGAATGTCTTTCAAGATAACAGTGTTAATATTTACATAGGAACACATTTTTACGACTAAGCAGCCCGAGACAATGGAAATGCGCGGGAGAAAAACAAGGGGGAAAACAGGAGACAAGCCTACATAGGACTAAAAAAAGGGGCTTTTTTTCTCGGATCTCGGCCAACAACATGTAGGTCTCAGGATTTTTCTTCGATATTTTTTAATTTTTAATTGGACTGCATTTTGCAATTTGGAACTATAAAGTTTGGCTCTTCTGGAAAAACACTTATGTGCATACAGAAAATAATGGCAGATACGTTGTTTTTAAACCGGGCTAGAATTGATAGTTCCAAATTGCAAAATGTAGTCCAATTTATTTTCCGACTGAAAATGACTCAGTTTTGAGTCAAAACGTCTCAGGCTTTTTTAGTGTTGTATTTTAGCCTTTTCCGTTTTCTCCCCTTAAATATTTACATGTATACTTACTTTGAACAGCCCATAGTGTGAAATTCTGGAACGCCTCGGTGTAAGCTTCACTCTGTCGTTGGCAGAGAGGACTTTTGCGGAAATCCCTCCTGATGATGGATGAAAAAGTGCGGCTCTCCGTGGACACCAACACCGCCCACAAAACGAGAGGATACAGTAGCGTTCTCATTTTACCGCATAGAAATCCTGCAATATTGATGTTCGACCTCGGTGCGCTAACACAAACGCGCGTGTAAACCGAAAATCCACAATCACCGCTCGTGTTACTCGCAGCTAACTTCCGAACACACTAAATATTAATTAGTTAATCGCTGATATTATCCAAGAAGCTCCAACTTCCCTTGCTTCGAGAGAACCGCAGTGGCTAAGCGCTGAGCTCCGCGACGGGACTAAGATTCGATGAGAAACCACTGAAAAATTTAAAAAAAAACTGCAATGGATATTCACGATTCCGATGTTTCTAGTTCTTGCATTCTTAATACAGTGTTGCCGAGTTCCCAATACTAGTGTCTAGGATACATGAATAATCTATTGTTAAAATATAGAGTTCAGCCTAATCTGGGAACTGCAGTTGCAAGTGGAAAGAGAAAAGAAACCTTGTCCTTCGATTTCATTCGTTAAATTTTTTTTCTTTTTCAATCCTTTTTCTGTTTTCTTGACCTTTTACTCCCGCGCAGAAGTAGACCTGGTCACAAACAGCTTCTCTAGATAGGTAGGGGAACGAGATGGGTGACTAATGGAATGGACGGAATTGCATACGAGACGTCAGGTGTAAAAATAGCTTAAGTGCAATGCGTTTGGGACGGGCATTGGTCATTTTAACACAGGATGTTTTGTCTCCTTGCCCAGGCAGGATAAAAATAACGAGAGAAAAGTTGGAAAACGCTCGTTACTCGATATCCCTCCCGGCTCCACCTGTCTACTATTCCTGGAAACCTGATTTTTTATCCACATTAGGATGTGGGCTGACTCTGTTTTAGGGAGCAGGATCAGCAACTGCATGAAAAAAACCAAGGCCATCGTAACAAGACGCTCCTTGTGTGCTATTTAATTTGAAATTCCTTTAAAATGCCTTGAAGGAAAAACAACTACGAAAACAAAATACTTTAGACTTCTCATCATTTGGTTAGGTTTTGTAAAAATAGCTCTCTCAGCTGTAAAATAATACATGGAGTCGTCCACAGTAAAAGGGACGTGAGAGGAACGAACATCAGTTTCTTGAGGGATAATACTCTCCAGTGTCAAGTACCGCAAAAATTAATAAGGTGGGCAACTTCTTTTTAATTCACACCGTCATAATGTGCGTAATCACTTTAGAATCCGGTAATTTTGAGTCCCAAATGTAGAAAATTCATATCTTTTTATCCAATACCTTTTTCTCACAAAACAGAATTTTTCCGGCTCCATACCCAAAATTTTCATGAGTCCTGTTTTTTTAGTGATTTCTGGCCAACTTCTGTGCAAAAATATTCATAAAACACTCATCCGAGCAGTGGTACCAAAGTCTAAATTTTGAGTTTTCGTTATTAACGTCCCTCTTTCCGTGGACGATGCCATATCACGAGGTAATTCAATAAAATATATTGATTGCTGGGGTCTACAAACGTCGATCTTTGATTGCAGCGTTGCCATTCTATGCTTTCTCTGTTTTTTTTTTTTTTTTTTTTTTTAAATTTTGATAATCTACAAATTGTCCAGGAATTTCTTGTACATTTCTTCAATTGTTAAAAAAGAAAGGAAAATTTGAGTTGATATTATTTTATTTATCAAAGAAGCGTGACTAGAGACTTTAAAAGGTTGCGATGCTGATACGGATTTTTCGACTTTTGGTTTCGCTGTTCTATTTTTTAGAAGGAGGTTTCATAGATCGAAAATTTCAAGGCATTATTTTGGTTAGTTGTCTTTTTTCAAAAAAAAAAAAAAAAAAAAAAATGGAAATTTTGGATCGTTGCACAGGACACGCATTTTTCAACTTAAGTCATCATAAGAACATTCATTTTATTTTTATTTTTGTCGGGAACTCGGCAAAACTTAGGATTGTGAGCACTTACGACGAACGAAACTAAAAAAAAACCCCGGTTGACCGCCGCTTTCAAAATTGCGCAACTATCGTAGAAAAAACCACGCACTTTGCACTGACCAAGAGCAGTGGCACTGATGCCCGCTAGACTGACGGGCAGACGTAAACAGCGCGCCACAATTACTCGATTGCTCCCTGCGGAAAAAACCTAGAAAATTCTATGAGCGGGCGGGGGTCGCGGTCGCCGAGAGGCGGGTACTTTGGGCTGACTCGGACCTGATCCTTCATGCCTCATGCATGTCACAGAGTAAGCTTGCAGGAAAGAAAATTGTGCATACAGTCCATACCCTTGTTGCAGCGACGCCATGTCAGAGACATTTTAGGGACACACTGGGAAAAAAAAACACATTGGATCTAGAATCTAGATATAATACTGAGATAATACTGCTGATACATCTGATGACTTAAACGCCAGGGTAGGAAAGTAGAGAAAAGGTCGAGACGTTTGATATATATCTCGGTGCCATTTTTTTTTCAACACCACGACTCATTTCAAAGATAAGAATCAGTGGCCTGATTGTTGAAATTTTTGTCAGCACGACAAGATATCAGAGATCTACAAATTAGACGGCACGGATATGTCTTGCTTTGGCTTGCCGACAAAGTTACACTGGAAAAAAAAAACACATTGGATTTAGAGTCCAGACTCTTGAAAACATTGACAAGAAGAAGGACTCTTGATTCAATCATAATTAAGCTTACACCAAAAGAAAATCCGCTCAAATTAAGAGGCTTGGTTCTTGATTTTAGCTTAAATTTGATTGAATCAAGAGTATTTTTTCTTGTCGATGTTTTCAAGAGTCTGGACTCTAGATCCAATGTGTTTTTACTTTCTCGCTCCCATAGGGTAGAGAGGAAGTATTGTCATCCTCCAAAAAAAAAAAAAAAAAAAAAAAAAAAAAAAAAAAAAAAAAAAAAAAAAAAAAAAAAAAAAAAAAAAAAAA